TCCGAGAACTCATCGGGCATACCAAAGACTAGGCAGCTCAATGGTGAAGAATACTGGGACGCAAACAGCATCGCGAATGGATTTGCTACTTTTTTCCATTCGGTTTTCAGCCCGTCATTTCTAGATTAATCTAGTGAAAATGACTGCAACTATGGTAATATACAAGGAGTGAGGAAGGGAGTAAAAAAGTTGAAGCCTAAGAAATCTACAGGTATTGACAACATCCCAACTCACATATACAATTTTCTAGCTAAACCAATTTTTTATGTCTTTAACTTCTCGATACAGATGAGTCAAATTTTTCCTGATAAGCTTAAGCAGCAATTATTGTTCCTATTTTTAAGGGCAACTGTGAGGGGGACATTAAAAATTATAGGCCGATAAGCATATTGAATTCTCTGGCTAAGATCTTTGAGTCTATACCTCATGAATATCTGTTGAAAAATATAAAGAATTAAATTGTGGATGAGCAGCATGGTTTCGTTGGTGGAAAAACCAGTGTATCAAACCTATTAAAATTCACTACTCAAGCATTTGAGGCTATAGGCAATCAAGCCCAGTTCGACACAATATACATATACCTACAGACTGTGCAAAAGAGTTTGATTTTTATACATCATGCTATCCTTATCAAACGGCTAGTTGAACTGGGATTCTCCAAACAAACCTGTGAACGAATTGAGCGCATTCAAAAGAAATATTGTCACAACCCCTATACGTTTTGTCCTGGGACGTCACAACAGGAGCGTGAGTTGGGGGCGTAGGTGGGGTTCAGGTAGAGAGAGAAACTCGCTTGGTATAGGTATAATAAGATGTGTATTGATTAATAATAGTTATTACCCTAGAAATGGTATCATGACGTCTTTTCTACGGAGGGAAGTACTACTTAAGGGCCACTCTGTATTAATTATGTACCCTCTGTACACTTGGCGTGACTGAAGACTGAAACTAGGTTTGAGACAGGTCCAGAAGGGCGTTTCCCATTAAAGGTAGTTTGCACTGGGAGGAGACTTAGCTAGAAGTGCTTTTCCCATTAGAGGTAGTTCGCACTAGCCCGGTAATGGATTTCGGCGCTGTATTTATATCAAATAAATGCTGACTCGTCGACAGACTTTAGTAAAATTGATGACAATATTTTCGATTTTTGTACCTAAAATATAACAATTCCCATCCTTATCTTATTTCCTATCAGAGTATGTCAAGCACATACAAATACCAAAGACTTTGTGATAGAAGAAGACAACATTCTCTCTTCCGATAATTAATGCTGTTAATTTTCATGTACCTAAGGTAAATGTAGGATCTAATTGCAATAAACTATTTAGTATTAGCTCTTGGACACTGTAATGTTATAATAACTAAGAATAATGATGTTTTAACATTTTTAGCACTCCTGTTAGTGAATTAAAAAGACTGTTTTTTTTTGATTTTCTAGATTTTTACATTTTCAACTTTGTTGATGTTGTAGTATAGCAAATTTTTAATTGTCTTGTGTTTCTATTTCATTGTTTAATTCTCATTTTTTTTTAGTCCATTTCATTGTGATATTTACATTTTTAGACCAGTTGCGCTGTTTGTAGGTAGTAATTTTTGGCTACTAATAGTCTTATAATTTAATTACTGTTAATGTGTTTTATAGGGCTTTAATGGAATAAATAAAAAAAAAAAAAAAAAAAAAAAAAGACCCTACTCAATAACTCCTGAAAGTTTGAAGTCCCTCTGATTGCTTGAAGTATTTTTCAGAAGCTTCTGAAGGTGATTCAATAGAAATTTCATATAATTTATTTGCATCTTAGTGAGAAAAGATTAATAATTCCATTTTTGAGTCTGAGATCAACTCGGTGTTTGCTTTATTCGATGGAAAGACCCTTCTTAATAAACCCTGAAAATTTGAAGTTCCTCTGATTACTTGAGGTATTTTTCAGAAGCTTTCAAAGGTGATTTAATAGAAATTTCACATGATTTTTTTTGCATCTAAGTGAAGAAAAATTCATAATTCCAGTTCTGAGTCTGAGATCCACTAGCGGTATGTTTTGTTTAATGGAAAGACCCTACTCAATAAATCCAGAAAGTTTGAAGTCCCTCTCATCACTTGGATTTTTCAGAAGCTTTCAAAGGTTATTTAGAAGAAATTCTAAATGATTTTTTTGCATCTATGTGAAAAAAAAAATTATAATTTCATTTCTGAGCTTGAGATTCATTCGCGGTTGGGTTTGTCTGATGAAAAGACAGTGCTCAATAAATCCTGAAAGTTTAAAGTCCCTCTGATTGCTTGAAGTATTCTTCATTTTTTTATAATATGCTGAATAATCTATTGCCTAAACATTATTGCTCAAAAATTATGCATTTGTCAAAGAGATACATGATTATATAATATAAACAGGATGACATCCAATTCTAGTCAAAACAGTCTTTATTATAAGGGCCTCAAACAATATAATGATTTACCCAACCATGTTAAGGACTCAACTCAACAAATATTACATAATTTAAAAAATCTTGTAGAAAATATATAAAGGAAACCGTTGAAATATAAAATGAATAGTATAGTACTATGAAGTATGAGTAGTTGATATTACAGGTACTAAACTTGGATTGGTTTTCTTTGCTTTCCTAGCCATACTGACGAGACCTGATGGGTCGAAACGCATCTATGGATGGAATAGCAGAGAAAATTAATCCAAAATTTCCATATTATATTATATATGTATATAAATATGTAATTAGATTCAAAAGAAAATGTTTGTATTTATGGTAGCGAATAGGCTATTAATAAAGATTATTATTATTATTATTACTCAATAAATCCTAAAAGTTTGAAGTCTCTCTGATTGCTTGAAGTATTTTTAAAACCTTCCGAAGGTGATTTAATGGCACATGATTTTTTTACATCTAAGTAAGAAAACATTCATAATTCTATTTCTGAGTCCCAGATCAACTCGCCGTTTATTTTGTTCGATAAAACGATCCTACTCTATAAGCCCTGAAAGTTTGAAGTCCGTCTGATTGCTGGAAATATTTTTCAGAAGCTTTCAAAGGTGATTTAATAAAAATTTTACATGATATTTTTACGTCTAAGTGAAAAAAAAAATCATAAATCCATTTCTGAGCCTGAGTTTCAATCGCAGCTTGTTTTTTTTTTTGATAAAAAGACCCTACTCAATGAATCCTGAAAGTTTGAAGTCTCTCTGATTACTTGAAGTATTTTTCAGAAGCTTCCGAAGGTGATTTAACCCTCGCCTTACCGACAGCGGGTCAGCGATGACCCAAAATCTGATTTTCCGGGAATATCTTGCGACCCCGCGACTTTTTTCCAGAGATCTTCTGTGACTTCTCCTACTTTATGTCAAGAATATTGCCTTTTGTATGATTTTTCCGAAAAAACGATTTTTCCCGAGACAACTTTCTATGGGTCACCAATGACCCGGTTTTGGGATAAATCGGTATACCCTGAAACCCTCCAACTCGACAAGTCGTAGCAAGCTTTTATAACGTGTTTTCGGAATTTCTAGCTTTTTTCCTTCAGTTTTCTATCTACTTATCTTATGAATAGTAAGTTTATTTTGTTGTTATTTTTGAATAATGAAATTAAAGCATAATACAATAAGATGTTTTATTATGATTCCCAAAATTTTATATTCAAAATCACTCTGTATCTGGGTCCATTTTGACCCTGTTCTGAGATCCCAAGTTTTGAAATTATTTTGGGGCGGCGAAGGTTAATAGATTTTATATAATTTTTTTGCATCGTGAAAAAAAATTCATAATTTTATTTCTGAGTCTAAGATCTCTCACGGTTTGTTTTATTTGATAAAAAGACCCTACTCAATGAACCCTGAAAGTTTGAAGTCCCTGTGATTGCTTGAAGTATTTTTAAGAAGCTTCTAAAGGTAATTTGATAGAAATTTCATATGATTTTTCTTGCATCTAAGCATTATTATCAAGTATGAAAAAAATCATAATTCCATTTCTGAGTCTAAGATCTATTCACGGTTTGTTTTGTTCGATAAAAAGACCCTACCCGATACATCCTGAAAATTTGAAGTCTCTCTAATTGCATGAAGCATGTTTTTTTCGTTTTTTGGCCTGTTGATGGTAACTTCTTCAACAAAGTGTAATTTTCACGATGTTATTTCGAAATAATTAAAAAAATATATACATTTTTGTAAAGTAGAAAAATCAGGCTTTCTGACGATGACAAAATATACAGGGTGTCCACTTAGTGCGAAATCAGACGATATCTCCTTACAGGGTGATGCAAGAAAAAAAACAATAAATTACAAAGTTGTTCGATACTCTAATATGCATTAGTTAAAAATATTATTAAATATACAGGGTGCTTCGTTTATGGGGTATGCGACAGAGCTTTGTTTTTTTAAATAGAACACCCTGTTTGTGATTGCATATTTGGATTCTACGCAAAATTCCAAGCAAATTTCATGTAATTCCCTTTACCTAAGTTCAACTGTTTTGGAAATATTGACAGTTGAAAATTGACTTTTTGCAACTTTGACAGGCTGTAAAACTTAAACAGTTAATTTTAAAGGAAAACCGATTTTATATTCCTATCTTAGATTTTTATAAACTATCATTTGACACCAACTTTGAATTTAATCCATGATTAAAAATTTCAGTTAAATTTAATCTCCGGTTAAAGCCAAAGTTGGTGTCAAATGATAGTTTATAAAAATCTAAGATAGGGATGTAAAATCGGTTTTCCTCTAAAATTAAGCGTTTGGGTTTTACAGCCTGTCAAAGTTGCAAAAAGTCAATTTTCAACTGTCAATATTTCCAAAACAGTTGAACTTATGTAGGTATAGGGTATATTTCATGAAATCTGCTCATAATTTTATGTAGAATCCAAATATCAAAATAACAAAGTTCTGTCGCATACCTCATAAACGGAGCACCCTGTATATTCAAAAATATTTTTAACTAATGCATATTAGAGTATCAAACAACTTTATAATTTAATTTTTTTTTTCTTGTGTCACCCTGTAAAAAGATATAGTCCGATATCGCACTAAGTGGACACCCTGTATAGGTTGTTTCATTGAAAATAAGGCAGTAATTTTATTTCAAAAAATCGCATGGCTGTAAAACCAAATTCTAGCAAATTTTAGGACTTGGCAATACTGTAAAAAAAAAACTTTAAATTTTTTTTATTCTCCCAGAACAAACCGCGTCTCGTTATCTTTTCTTGTTTTCGAGATATTTACTTGCCAAATGTGTCAGTTTTATCTGAGGACGCCCTGTATAACAATAATTGACTAAACGCTACTAGCAAATGTGTAGGTACCTAAATGTCTTGTAAATATGAATATCATTTAATCCATAACATAAACATTATCAATTATCGTCATTATCCGGAATCTTTTTTTAATTTTATGTTGTATGAATACCAGAAAATGCAAATGAAATTTATTTCTAGCAGGCTTCAAATTTCAAGATGCTACTATTAAAAAATTAGCTTTTTGTCATGCACGAGCTTCCTTAACCAGAGATAATTATATGTATGCGCATACTGACGAATGCAAGTTATTTTTTAATTATCGTTGACATTGCTTGTGTACTAATTAGATATATTAAAACTTGGTAATTAGGTCGTATATTTATTTGCCATAGCATTTAGATGAAGTTGTGCGTGTTTCTGTTGATGATGATTAACATCGTTTAAAAATTATCTAAAAGCACTGACATGAATTTTGCAAAAAATTAACTATCTGTAATTTTGGGGTTTAAAGGTCAATTATTAAAATTTAATAATATATCATTATATATTTTTCAGCTGTATACATATTTTTTTGTCTGCATGATAATAAAAAAAGCATCATTGTTTGTTTTTATTTGTGGCATTGTAGATGGGTACCATCTATTGTTAGTTTAGTAGGTACCTGTTTGAAAATTTATCTAAAATTAAAAATATACTACTTCCTTTAAATTTTAGAAAATAATAATTAATTATCCACAAAATAACAGTTAACTGTATAATATTTAATTAATATAAAATAAATACAGTTATCGCTTAACCATAATAATAATACTTTTATTTGAAAATTAATCACAATATTATTTGTGTGTAATTTATAAATAACCATAATCGGCCATAAATTCAATTAAATCGCAAAGTCTCTGCTTATAATCTGCGGACCGTTTCACTTCATAACTGAAAGCAGTCATATTATCGTCTGATTCCAATTTCTCATAATCGGGAACTTCATCCGATTCAGTCAGCATAATTTTCAGAATCATCATGCCAATGAACACTCCGTACCATGCTGTGTTCTTCCATTCGTCCAGTAAGTCATCAAAGCTTAGGATTCCTTCAGGATTACAACCGAGTTCTTGAAGATTCTGAGACAATGTTTCATGATATGTTTTCAAATACTTGTTTATATTTGCATAGGTTTCTTTAGAGCCAGATGCGCTGAAAAAGTATGTCAGGTCTAAAGCAGGGGATCCAACTTTCGAAAGTTGCCAATCGATGAAGCATACTTTGGATGGAGTATTGTTGTTGTTCTGAAAAAAAAATTGAGCAAATGGTATTAATTATTAGAATAGGAAATTACTTACTTCATATCTGAATAATATATTGTTGCACCAACAATCACCATGGGTAATCACAGCTTTTTTCGTTAACCCTAATGTTTCAAATTTTTGGCCAATAACTTCACGAAGTTTTTCCAACTCGGCCGTTGCTCTTGCATTTCCCTCAACTGTATTTAAACCATTTTTAAAATAGTATTGAACAAAGTGTCCAAACTTTTCTTTCGCATCTTCCGTCTCGGTATCCATGAAAACATCTGTTTTTATATCCTTGGAAAGTTCTTCAAATCTGTCAGGGTTTTGATGTTTAAATGCAAAAGACAGGGCGTGAAATCTTGCATATTCTGCAAACACTGCCGATAAGTGCTCGTCGTTCATGGGAGTCATTCTATCCCATAATTTATACCCATCTTTTTTTAAATTTTTCATCAAAATTGTTTCCCTCTTCTCTTCTAAACAGCTGCCATAAAACTTTGCTACACCATCGAATGGTCGCGATAGAGCTTTTTCATTTTGATATTCTCTAAGTTTGCCAACAATTTCATACAAGTCACTTTCACGTTTAAACATTTTAATAATAGGCACCATAGCTCTAAAATTATCTATTATATGAGCACTTTTACAAATCAAATGCAAAACTTTTGTTTCGTCATTTTTTTCCGTAACAGTCACTGAATGTATTACTCCCAAATAGTTATCACCTTTAGCAGTACCAATATTCGCCAAAATATCAAAATCATTAAAACTTTCACTTTCAGCCGCTTTTCGCACGAGATTCTCTTGATCAAGCGTTAGTTCAACGTTGGCCATGGTTTCAAACACTAAATTCAAATCTACACTTTTGACTGTGAACAAACGAATCAGTCGAGGTCGATAGTTTTATTGTTTGTTGCAAGTGGCAGCATCATTCACGACACACATACAATCGCAAAATTACGGCTAATCTAAATTGATGATTATTATTAGACGAAATACACATTAAAGCATCGGGTTTCTGATAAAATACTTTAGATAACGAGGCGGAATTTATTCACAAACTTTAAGAACTCATTATAAGGAACATTTTCTAAGTCTAAAACATTTTATATTTTTACAATGGAAATGTAGATAAGGTCACAAAAGGGCTTGTTATATTAAAGGTAATTTGCCCAAATAATAAGAAATATATTTCTGCTTGATTTTAAAGAACAGTAGTGTTTATTAGTGCATAAATTACACTAATCTAATAATGGATATTATGAAGTAGATAAATAATAGGGATGTCCTATATTTGGTTCTATATATTCTTGAAGAGCACAGTTTCCTGATTCTAAAAATATATACCTAGTTTGTCCATATGTGGTTCAGGAGAACAAAAATGTATTTTTACTTTCAGTAAGAACAGTATTTTTGAACTCAGTTTCATTGCCTGTGATTATTTTCGATGGAATGAAAAGAAGGATATGAGATTATCACATATAGGTAGTCGTTCTAGTTGTGAATGGTCGTAATCCACAAAATGTTCATTCTTGAGTTGTGACTGTTAACATACTTAAAAATCTTTAAATTTCATGATGGTGAATAGATCTAAGCCAGTGATCAATATTTCACCTTGTTATAGTATATTTGCTAATAGTTATAAGCCACAAATCTTCCATGGTGAAAAGTCCTAAGCGACTTAGCACTTTTCACTACAATAATTCAATTCCTTTGGCGGAAGTATTTCAGTAGCATTGAATAGCTCTAATCGACATTTTGCAAGTGGTGACAAGTTTTGATGTCTTTGTTAGTACGTGTTGAGCTGTTGAATGTGAAGAAGAAATTTTGAAAATCAGTGCAAGGAGCAAATTGATACGTCAACTAGCACTCAACCAGGAAATCAACGAATACAATAATTTCAGTGATGATGATGATGATGAAGATAGCTTAACTTTCGCTACATTAATCCCGGTACCAATACCTGGTAAGGACATCAAACAAATATTAAATAAGTTATTGGGTGAATTCACGGAATTAGAAATAACCAATTAAAGTGTTTAAATAACTCTTTTGTCATTTTTTCAGATGAAATTCAGACACAGAAAAACCCTAATGTCCGTAATTCAACAGATAGTTCTGATTATTTGAGGGTGATTAACCCAAATAGCAGCCAGGAGGAAATTCCCGACAAATCCTCCATTCTTACTTCAAAGAAATCAATTTCTAGGAGTGTAATGTTAATTTTTTTACTAGGGACTAACCGAGGACTATAAGGTTTCAATTCAAATTTTATTTGTGGCAAAACAAAGCTTGCACTATTACTAAATGTTTTCTTTGTTGTTTTACATGGTTTTCTTGCATTCTTATGCAAAAATAATGTTTCTCAATGGTGTTTTCCATCTTAATAACGTTGGCGTGGTTTAATTCGCTTTCTTGTCTCTAATAAATTTGTATTAATTTAAAACTGTATCAAACTAACTTCTAGATGAGCTAGAGACTTGAACCTTTGATCATTAGACTCATAACTGGATGACAATGCAATGTTATCGAAAATATTTTTTTCCAAATGAAAAGCCACTGAATAAAGGAATCCGTTATGCAGAACCAAGTTCAAGTTATGTAGATTCCGACACTAGAATCGATGTCGAAGATGGGAATTTTGGATTTACCGATAGTGAAGATAGTTATGAACCATCCAGCTATGATGAAGAATCCGAAGAACTGACAAGAGAACCAAGAAGAGAGCGTGATTTAGAAGTTGATTCTAATGGTGGAAAGCCTACTCCAGAAAATGCTGAATTGAGAAGGGAGAGTGATTCAGATATAGATATTAACGCTGCCAAGCCATCCTAAGAAAATGCGACTAAAAAACTCACTCGGAAAAGAAAGAGAGATCCAAATTCATGGAAGCGAAATGTGCAGAAAAATTTAAGATTGAAAGGAAAACAGTACTATACACAGAAAGGTAAACTTAAAAATGTTAAATCTGTGAAAGATATTGTATGTCGTTGTCATTATAAATGTCAACAAAATTTTAGAGAGGAACAGCGAGAAGAAATTCTATCAAATTTTCTTGAGCTAAAATCTCAAGAGCTTAAATGGAATTTTATTATAAAACACGTTTCTTGTATTCCAAAAAAACGATGTTATACCTAGTGAAAACAATGACAGACGATCAAAGACTTTTGTTTATAATTTAACATCGAATCAAGCTCCTCGTCAAGTTTGTCAAAAATTTTGTCTCGCCACTCTGAACATTTCTAGCAAGACCGTCAGAACCGCAGTTGGCAAGACTTCTGAAACAGGCACAATTAAACCAGACTTGCTTATTTGCCCTCCGATCTTTCCGAAAAACGGTTGTAAAGACTACAAACTTTTTTGCGAAGATAGAGATGTCGTTCCAGAAAAATTTAGCTTTTACAGAAATGTTTTCGTTACTGAATTTAACCTTGGGTTTCATTGTCCCAAAAAAGTTCAGTGCGATTTGTGCACGAAATTCAGTTCTTGGAAGAACAAGAAAAGTGTCCACTACAAGAAAAGTACGATTTATATCTTATTAGGAAACAAGAAGCCAGGGACCATAAAAAAGATGACAAGGAACGATCCAAAGTAAATAACAGCTTCTCTTCTTATACAATGGACATGGAAAAAGTTCTTGTAACACCATCCCTCAATGTCGGTAAATTATATTATGCGCAGAAGTTAAAGACATAACTTTACTGTCTACAACTTAGCAACTTCTGAAGCTATTAATTATATGTGGCATGGAGGTGTGGGAGCCAAAGGATCCTCAGAAATTGCAACTTGTTTGTGACATGTTCTGCAAAATTTTGATCCTTCCGTGAAAGACGTTATTTTTTATTCTGATACCGCATCCGGGCAAAACACGAATGGTATCAATGCTGCAATGTTTCTTAAAGCTGTTTCGGAGTTACCGGTAGAAGTGGTGTGTGGTTTCTTCGATTCCTCGTCTTGTTCTCATGGTTATTTTTAATTACTTCTGCTATTTCTGTTTTTTTGACAACATCAATTAATGTTATCAGGCATCTTTTAAATTTAATTGAAAGCCATTTAAACTTTTTTCTTATTATTTCGCAGAAAGGTTCGTAAGTATCTGGATTTTCGAAATTTTCGGGTAGGTACTACATTTTCTTCCACAAATTGCATGATGTCATTCTCAAAATTATTTTCGGATAGTTGGACTAGAAAACCTCTTTGCTTTACGAATAATATCAAGTTTTTTGTATTTGCAGGCGAGTGCAGGACGCTCGTAATAATCACTTGATTAGCCCCATAATTAACTGCTGATTCTATAATAGGGACTCCTGCTATAGGATCTTGTTCCTTATTTGTATGTACGGTTTCGTTGTCGTCTTCGTCTGCTGGTGGGTTAAGGTCGGGTTGTACCATTGTTGAAATTAGGTCTAAGTTATCTTCTTCGGGAATTATATTCTCGTTGTTGGTAGATGAGGTGCATTCTTGCTAAAGTGGCTTATTTAATTCTACAATGTACGACACTAAACTTGAGAAGTTGGCGGCGTCTTTTGTGTGTCACTCAATGCGACTTAGCGCGTCAGCACTTATGTTAAGTTTTCCTTTTTTATATGTTATTTGGTAGTCGAATTCTTGTAATTTTATTCGCCATCGTACTAATTTTGAAGTGGGATCTTTATGATTAAACAGCCATTGTAAGAGCTTATGGTCTGTTATGATGTTGAACTTTTGTCCATACAGGTATGGCCTGGGAATTTTTGTTGAATTTTATTATAGTCTGGACTCACATGAATAGGTTGAGATAGAAATTGTTGTTGAGTGAAGGTGTTATTTGGTGTATTACCATTAAAAGTTGGAATGATTATATCTTTGTTGTGTATTTTGTTTGAAATGCTGGGAGGGTTGTTTTTGTTGAGTTTTTGCAATATTATGAAAATTTTGTGTGTGACAAACTGTACAGCTTCGGAAAGGTCTTTGGGACGCATACAGCTAATTGTTTTTCCTAATGGTTCCCTTAAGCCGGATAAGAAAGTTTTAAGGGCAAGATCATTGTATAGGTGCCGCTGCTTTAAATTTTTCGCATTTGGGTCAACTTCCTGACTATTTACATAAGAACAAAGCAGGTTTAATATATGCATAACTCTGTTATAATACTGACTAGATTTTTCTGTGTTTTGTTATATCAACATTACGAGATCTCATGCCTCGTCCCTTTGATCTGCGAAATCCTTGTTCAATGTTTGTTTCAAATTATCCCAAGTTGTGACATTTTCTGTACCTAGGATCAATTTTGCGTTTCCAATTGGTTTTCCGATGATGCAATTTATCAAGTAAATAGTTTTAAAATGGTTTGGATGATTTGCATCATAGAAATTATCATTTAAACTTTGGCATTCTGTCAAATATCTATTCAGATGCTTAGAGTTACGATCGAATTGTGGTACGCAATTCAAGTACTCAGGTTTAAATTGAGTCAAATCTTTACTTGTATAAGTATTATTTGAACTGAAATTATTTTGATTCTTCTCTATTTTGTTCCAATACTCCGATTGCTTGAAGGTGGTTCTTTGGTTTTCGATTTCGTAAAGCCACTCCGACACTTCTCCGCAAACGCTTAATACCATTATTACACAAGGGTGTAGGTTCGAGTTCCCGGTTTGTCCAATTTCCGGACGACTGCGTCAGTTATCAATCCGTAAGCCGATAACGATAACGAGTTTTTAAAAAACAATTTATTCACTAATTTACAATACAGTACTTTCGCGTTACCTTTTACAAAGGTTAAAAATAAGAAATATAATTATAATTCAACTGACTAACAATTCTAGGCGAGCTGCGACATTATAATATAGAAAAGCGAATTAAGTATGTATGTTCAGCAAATAGGGCTGACATTATTCATGGCTCAAAATAGTTGAAATTCATAAAAGGAATAATTTGTTAGGTTTTGAAAATAACTGTTTAGATTTTGGGTTAGAATA